TGTTCACATATATCACACACGTACGACTTTTCTCCCGTGTGAGTGCGCATGTGTGTCTTGAGATGAGTGGTGGTCGTACACCTGTATTCACAACTATCGCACGCATATGGCTTTTCACCCATGTGAGTGTACATGTGTGTCTTAAGCCTATCGGACGTAGAACACTTATATTCACATCTCTCACATGCAAACGGTTTTTCTCCTGTGTGAGTGTGCATGTGTACCTTGAGAGTATTGAGGCGTGTGTATCTGTATTCACATATATCGCACGCATACGGCCTCTCTCCCGTGTGAGTGCGCATGTGTGACTTAAGCATACTGGCGGACGTACACCTGTATTCACACTTGTCGCATGCATACGGTTTCTCTCCCGTGTGAGTGCGCATGTGTACCTTGAGATTATCAAGACTCGTATGTCTGTGTTCACATATATCGCACACATACAGCCTCTCGGCCCTCTCTTCCGTGTGAGTGCGCATGTGTACCTTGAGAATATTGAGGGTCTTATATCTCTGTTCACATATATCACACACGTACGGCTTTTCTCCCGTGTGAGTGCGCATGTGTATCTTGAGATAACCGAGGGTAGTATATCTGTGTTCACATATATCGCACGCATACGGCTTTTCTCCCGTGTGACTGCGCATGTGTGTCTTGAGATGAGTGGAGGTCGTACACCTGTATTCACAACTATCGCACGCATATGGCTTTCCACCCGTGTGAGTGTACATGTGTGTCTTAAGCATATCAGACGTAGAACACTTATATTCACATCTATCACATGCATATGGCTTCTCTGCTGTGTGAGAGCGCATATGTTTCTTGAGATAACGTAACTTGGAGCTGGCGTATCCACACACATCACACACGTAGGACTTCTCTCCTCCAGGGCGCGGCATATCTGAATGAGAAGGCTCCATCAGACAGATCGCAGGTGCTCAGTTCTGCCTCGTTTCGAGCTCTCGCTAACGCTCTCCTGCTGGGAAAAACATGTCGAAATAAATATCATCATTGACGCACTGCAACACTGCATGTCACTGCCCCAGACGTAACAAGTTATGCTACGAAGATGAGGTCACAGCTACAAATCCACCAGATTTAGCAATATGCGTGGGTGATGTGTGGAGAGTGGAATAAAAGCTCTTGCATCTCACAGAGACAAATTCTAATCAAACTATGGCAGGGCTACCAATGGCATTCGCCACCTTCGCAAAATGCGATGAATAAATAACTTATGATTTTATGACACTAAGTGACGAAAACAATTGGCAAATGGTTTAACTGCTCAGAAAAATACGATTGACTAACGAAATCGTCAAATTGCAGTGTCGTGTCATAAAATGTTTTCGTACATCTCTTTTCTCGTACCCGTCACCTGTTTATGCCTTGCTTAGCACATACGATAAAGTGAACAGTAACTATAGTTTTTATTAGTGGCTGTAAAATAACTTTGGTGGCTCAAGTCTTAGGTCAAACTTTAAAATATGCAGAGGGAGCCCTGCTATGGGGTGTAAATACAGATAAGGGAGCCTTCCTGTTTTTGAAGTCACTTTTTTGGTGTCGCCCCTGCTTTGGAATTTCCTTTATTTCTGAGTCTCCCATTCTTGAAGTCAGAATTACAGAAGGATTAGGATTACAGAAGCTCTAGCTATCCCTTACCCTAATTGTAACACTAACCCCAACCGAATTGTAACCCTAATCACAGCATAACAGAAGCTCTATCCCTTACCCTAACTCTAACACTTACTCTTACCGTAACTCTAACACTAACCGCAACCGAATTGTAACCCTAATAACAGCATAACAGATCTATCCCTTACCCTAACTCTAACACTTGCTCTTACCCTAACTCTAACACTTACTCTTACTGTAACTCTAACACTAACCCCAACCGAATTGTAACCCTAATCACAGCATAACAGAAGCTGTAACCCTTACCATAACTCTAACACTTGCTCTTACCCTAACTCTAACACTTACTCTTACCGTAACTCTAACACTAACCCCAACCGAATTGTAACCCTAATCACAGCATAACAGAAGCTCTAACCCTTACCCTAACTCTAACACTTACTCTTACACTAACTCTAACACTTACTCTTACCGTAACTCTAACATTAACCCCAACCGAATTGTAACCCTAATCACAGCATAACAGAAGCTCTAACCCTAACCCTAACTCTAACACTTACCCTTACCCTAACTCTAACACTTACTCTTACCGTAACTCTAACACTTACTCTTACCATAACTCTAACACTTACCCTTACCCTTACTTTAACATTAACAAAATTGTAACCCCAATCGCAGCGTAACAGAAGCACGACAGGTGGTGCGTGCGTGTAAACTATTCATGTAGCCTGCACGCCAAGATGGGCTGAGCAAGCGTAACATGGTTGAGTAGCCACTGCCACCAGTTGCACTGTTACCCCAGGGAGAGTCATCGTGCCGACTAGAAAGATAGACTAGATATACATTAGATATAAATTAGAGGTACATTAGATACGGAAGGCGAGCACGCAGTAGTCTGGGCTAAGATAAGTAGCCACGAAGCAACGCATGCAGAATAAAAGTAACCATGGACATTTTGGCAGCCAGCCAGATGCCAAAGGGTTGGGTTTGGACACAGTCCAAACTGCCGTAAGATAGACCCGGTGGTCACTCGATAGGAATGTAGAAGGGGCCACGGAGAGAGAACATGGCCTGCTAATTTTTGACATATGGAAAATGTAGCCTACAGCCGTACAGGCTACATCATACATGATTAGATTAGCTCTAGAGCCATACCTAGGCTAGCTCTAGTAACTATAGCCCACGTACAGTTGCCGCAGTCCAACGGTACGAGAGCTATAGTACTAGAGCTTCCTACATGATGTAAATATACTTTAGGCCCTAAATTAGGCTATAGTAACTTAGCCCGACGAGGCTGTGCAACTGATTGTCTATATACAGCCTGACTCGTACGCTTCCATACGAAAAACCTATCACCTATATGTAGCTCCAAGAAACGGTCATACATCAAGAGACCATATATTAGTCACACAGCCTGGTCGGGCTATATCACCTATGCAGATCTAGCTCTAGTAGTCTATAGCCCGAGTACAGTTGCCGCAGGGCTGCGGCAACTGTACGCAGGCTATAGTACTACAGCTAATTAATGCAGATCTAGATGAATAACCCTGTATATATCTCAAATAAAACTATTCTATCGTTTGACTTGCGTTGTTTGAAATATGAACGTTAACTAGCTCACAGTTGTCCTGCTTCTAAACTAGAGTGTACATTAAAACTCGCATAAGTCATTATCGTCTAACTCGTCAATTCGCGTAAGTCGTCATGGAAGTCAAAGCCCCAATTTTCTCTCATAGTAAATCCATGGGAATAGCCCCGCCTAAGTCGCCATTTATAAGCCGTCATTATGTACAAGTCAACACCCTCAGACATGTCCCATGTAATACAAACAACAGTAATTTCCCATCTGTAAGTCGTCATCAGAACAGAGCCGTATATATTCTGCTATACTAACTCGTTCGTTTCAGAGCACAGCTTTGCGGAATTACCGTATTTTTTTAGCAAGTGTTCCAAGAAAATTTGGCACGGCTGCACCGCTAATATCCTGCAATGTCCAAACGTGTAATCAACAGTGGGGGCGCCTGGGATGGGAGCCCCACATATAAGTCGACAAAATGGCGGCTTACGCGTATGTCGTCATTTTCGCAAAGTCGGCACAAATATGCTGGTCCCAAAAGTGTCGACTTATGCGAGTTTTACTGTACATATCTCTTCATTCACGGTATAATCTGTGATCTGTGATAAATAATCACGATATAAATTGTGAATTTGTAATTCGTTTGTTATGTCAAACATACATGACATCAGAAGTAGATAATAGGGAACTATATTACCTATTATCTACTTCTGACGACATGCAAGCGGTATCTATATACATTAGGAAATTCATTAATAAAACTTTATGGTATTAAATAATCAGATTTCATGCACTAATTGTCAATTACTATAGCTTAGCTATATATATATATATATTAGGGCTGTAACGATCCACCGAAATCAAATCGGATTGCGATTCTCTTCCCTCGATCCGATCCTCGATATTTTTTCCCGTATTTTCGATTCCACTTCGATACCACTTTTTCCTCCAATAGATGGCGGCACTACGCTATATACTGTGGAGTGTTACTCGCCAATGTTAGTCAGCGACTGTGCAGTGCATATATACTCTCTAGACTCTCTAGTCTATTCACCATTTAGTATTCATTGGCAATTTCCAATAATTTATTATTGCAAAATAATAACAAGTGCCGCGGAGCGACAGCGCTCATCTAACGTCTACTGCGGTGACTCTGTGGTGGAGTGGTGGGATTCTAGTAAACCCTGTTAGTCCCAAATGTGTT